TTATAAATAGAGGTAGAGTTTCACTTAGTTTACTCACCCCCTAGCTCTCTTCCATTCTTCCTCCTTATTACATCCTCCTACTTGGTAGGGCAAAAAAGGGAAAAAAAAAAATGGTGGGAACGGAAGTGTTCTTGAGTTACTTCAAGTCAGTCGCACTGATTGGCTTGGTGAGTCTTTTAGTTCATTGGTTCTATAGAGTGCTGAATTGGGCCTGGATTAAGCCTAAGAGACTTGAGAGAATCTTGAGGGAACAAGGTTACAAAGGAAATGCTTACAGACCTTTCCTTGGTGACCAATATGAGAGTGAGAAATTGATCAGGGATGCCATGTCTAGGCCTATTGGCATTGATGAAGATGTCAACAAGCGTATCATTCCCCACATCGTCAAAACCGTCGAAACACACGGTATGTATTGTATTGTTCCCTTTGTTAACAAAACACGACTATTTTTCTGGGACGGAAGGAGTGTTTCTGCATGTCTGTCTATGTGTGTCTACTTCAATGAATGATTATTTGATTTTTTTTCATTTGCAGGGAAGAAGTCGTTTATGTGGGTTGGAAGAATTCCAAGGGTGTTTGTGACAGATCCAGACGGTGTAAGAGAAATCTACACAAAATACTATTTGTTCCACAAGAACCATCATGACCTCGACCCAATCACCAAGCTTCTGTTGACCGGAATTGGCAGCTTAGAAGGGGAAGTATGGAATGCCCGTAGAAAGATCCTTAACCCGGCTTTCTACTACGAGAAATTAAAGGTATTTAAGTTGTTACATGGGATTTTTTTCCCTCGAATTATTGATTATTATTTATGATTACAGGAATTGTCCTGTTTCATGCAGAGTACTTTTCCTTGACTAATATGTTCTGTCTGGAATTCTTTTTGTAGCTTTTGCCACCAGCATTTTACTCTTCCTGCCGGGATATGGTGGCCAAATGGGAGGCTAGGGTGCCGGAGGGTTCCCCGACGGAGGTGGAAGTGCTGCATGATATTGAAACCTTGACTGTGGATGTTATGTCCAAGACTCTGTTTGGGTGTGACTTTGATGAAGGAAGAGTCATCTTCAAGCTCATGAATGAACTCACCAATCTCACCATCGATGTCATCCTCTCAGTTTACATTCCTGGAAAGAGGTAAACTTCAACTCGAATATTATCGATCCCATAAAACAATGTCATGTACGAAAATACAAAATATTCCCTCCATCCCGAAATTATTGTCTAGTTTGAGTTTTTCTTTTTTTTTTTAAAATACAGTTTGAGTTTTCAGTTTTAGTACAAATTGAACTAAAAGTGAAAATTCACACTGGACAATAATTTTAGGACAGAGAAAATAAATCACTTATTAGTAACTTGTGTTTTTGAAGAAGGGTGTTTGTGTCTTTTCACGTGACTAAACTGTTTACGTGATCAATAGAATTTACTGTCTCTATTATCAGTCTCGATGTGTATTGAATAGTGTATGATCTTTAAATGAATCGTTATTGGATGGTTTTTGATTATGCAGGTTTTTGCCAACTAAGAGGAACAGGAGGATGAGGGCAATTGACAAGGAGGTGAAAATGAGGATTGGTGAAGTGATTGACAAAAAAGTGAAGCTACTCAAAGCTGGAGATCCTCATGCTGGAAATGATTTCTTGGGCATCTTAGTTGAATCTGGTTTAAGCAAAGAGCAAATCACTAATGAAGTCAAGCTGGTTTGTTTTGCTGGGGAGGAAACCACTGCAAGTTTGCTTGTTTGGACAATGATCCTTCTGAGCAGGCACCCTGAGTGGCAGCAGAAAGCCAGAGATGAAGTCTTGCAAACTTTTGGGGACAAAGAACCAGATTATGATGGCTTGAGCAAACTCAAGATTGTAAGTTTTTCTTTTTTATTATTTATTTATTTATTTTTATTATTTTACTTAGTTTCCTTGCCATTTAATAATTTCTTTGTCTTTAAACATAACAAACAAGACAATCATTAGATAAAATAGTTAATCTAAAAAGAACCTAACTCAACTGGAGGAAGTTAATGGAGTAATATTGATCGAATCAGTCAGATCTCCACTAAATGAGAAATCATTTTAGTTTTTTTTTTTTTAATTTCATGCTCTTACTTTTAGAAGCTTTGTTACATTACGATTAAAAAAAAAAGGTAAGTTAAAGAATATTGTGGTTTTGCTAGCGGAATGGTTGATTAATCCTAAAATTAACATCCTTTTCTGTTGAAAAACAAAAACTTCCATAACTTTTTTTTAGTACCATGAACGGTTGATAGGGTGATTGTTGGATGCTGATTGGGAAAGCACTTATAAGAAAATGATTAAGCTTATTTTGTCAGTTATTTAAACCTATTAATTAATTAATCAGTAAGAGATTTGTGGATAGTTCCAAAACAAATCAAGCCTATATTACTCAATATTTCGTCTCTTTCAACTGTAATACAGGGTCCACTTCAGACCATTCTGTTTGTCCAAAACTAAAAGAAAAATCAACATTAAAGTGTGGTTATCAATAAATGGAGAAAAAAGAAAAAGCAGGTGGAAAGCTTTATAAAACAAATCACCTCAACCTATTTGTGGCAATCTTTTGCTCGTCTAAACAAAATATTAAGTGATGTCTCGTTGTGGGACCTTGTACTTGTGAAAGATATCTGATCTAGATCGACTGAAAATTTGTCTGAGAATGATCGGACTTGTTTACTCATCGTATGTTATATTTTTAAATAGGTGCCTATGATCTTGAACGAGGTTCTAAGGATGTACCCTCCGGTGCCGGAAGTCACCAAAGTGGCCCATGAAGACACACAACTCGGAGACAACTTCATTCCGGCCGGAGTCCAGCTGATGATGCCTCAATTGTTGCTTCACTATGACAAGGATATCTGGGGTGATGATGTCAGCAAATTCAATCCTGACAGATTCTCCGAGGGAGTTCTTAAGGCAACTGAAAGCCAGTTGGGTTGCTATTTCCCATTTAGCTTGGGTCCAAGGATGTGCATTGGAGTGAACTTTGCCCTTCTGGAGGCGAAAATGGCGATGTCGCTTGTTCTTCGCCGCTTCTCCTTTGAGCTCTCTCCATCTTACAGGCATGCTCCCAAGACCCTGTTCACCATCAAGCCTCAATATGGTGCTCATTTGATCATGCACAAACTCTAAAAGCCATGGTTCTCTCATGTTCATGGCTACTTGATTCCCCTCTTTTGGATTGCTTGGATTTGTGATGCTCCTTTATTAGTAGTGTCAAGTTTGACCCTTTGGCTCCCTAGTAATGTTAATTGTGTCAAATGTAGTGTTTATAGTATTGTCTGGGAGTTGCATATTTTTACGCACTATGATCATTATTGGAGGTGAGTTTGATGTGTCTCCCTCCTTCGTTGATGTGTCTCCCTCCTTCGTTGTTGTAGTTTTACTTCGTTTTCGAATAAAACCTAGCTAGGGGTCAATGTCAAGCCCAATCATTTCAAGGGGTATCATGATGTAATGCAAATATTTGTAATATCATGTTTGTGTGTATTAAGTATTGCATATGTATATTTAATTAATTATTATGCATTAACGGGAAGGTACATTAATTCTAATGGTTGCATGTATTATTGTCAAGGTCATTTGAATTCACATCTCAAAATCAATTGACAACGACTGCGGTTATTAAGTAACTTACAAAAAGCTGATAGATACTTCACTATAACGATGTGTGATTTTTTATCCGAACAGTTATACTCCCCTTCAAAGCAGCGGCGAAACTCGTAAGGGGCTCCGGATACCGAGGCCCCAGTCGGCTAGAAGGTTCATTAGGAATAATTATCGTTAATCTTTCGCCATGTATTTTCAACTATATTTTCCGACCAACATGTAGTCATCCCTAAATTGGGGGCAGCTGGTTCCGCCATTGCTTCAAAGTTTTAGTTTTGAGATCTTTTTTTATAGGGGAAGTAAACAGTAGAGTTTAATTAGTAACAAAGTGGAAATGCATCGCACTGTTGGGTCGCTTTGTTTTCAAATAATCAAAGAATCACTCGCCTTAATACTCACACTATTACATTTTTCGAGTTTGCAAATCATGTTGACATTATAGTTTCTTGTTTGTTTCGAGATTGTGTTTGTATTGTTTTAGCTCGTGACATCGTCATATCATATGAATATAATCACTTGGAACATTTTGTATTGGCAAAGGTATCCGTTCAAGAAATTTCAAAAATTTTTAGACAAGCTGGCGGAAATCTCACGCTCCAAACAGGACTGTATATTTTTTCAGTTAAGATCTGAATATATATCTTACCGTTAATTATGTGTCTTGCATGTTTGACATGATACTCTAATAGCCAGCCACCACCAAGGATAAAAAGGAAAAGAAAAGCAGAAGAATTGAAAAAGAAAAGAAAGAAACACTTAATTTAATTCATTTGGTCGCGATTTCTCTTTTCATTGTGTATCTCAATCTTAAAATGATGCTTGCACCCTTTAGATTTTTATTTCACTATTTAAATAAGCAAATCTCGAGAATATAATAGTGAAGAACAGTAGAGACAAATTCTTTCATTTCTACTATGCACTTAGTGACGCACCAAAAGTCTAGAATAATGCACATGGACCATAAATTCACGTTAATAAAAAATAAACAAATTTTTGGAATCTCATTATTGTATAATATAATAGGAATACTTATTACAGTAAGCTCAAATTCAGCCACTAGAGGCCTTAAACATATCTTGGCAGATATATGCGATTTTAAATGAAATATTCCCTCATCTCACAAAAAATAATTCCTTTACATTAAATTATTTATATAAAGTAATATACGTGCATGATGCATCCATGCTAGATTTTTAAATTTTTTTATACTAATATTATAATCATCGTTTATCGACTAAAAACAAAAATAACAAAAACAAAGACGCTACTAAATCAGCTCATTACACTCTTATAAATAGTGCTCCAATTGAACCATATTCCGCAACCTTATACAAGTTCAGCTCTTCCATTATTCCACCTGATTATACAATTCAGGAACAAAAAATGGCGGGAATGGAAGTGTTCTTCTCGAGCTTCTTCAAGTCAATAGCCCTGATTAGCTTGGTGAGTCTCTCAGTTCACTTGTTTTATAAAGTGCTGAATTGGGCATGGATTAGGCCAAAGAGGCTTGAGAGAATCCTGAGGGAACAGGGTTTCAGAGGAAATGCCTACAGACCTCTGCTTGGTGACCAATATGAAAGTGGAAAACTGATCAGGGAAGCCATGTCCAGGCCTATAGCCATTGATCAAGATGCCAACAAACGTATCATTCCCCACATCATCAAATCTGTCGAAAAACACGGTATGTTTGATACATTTCTTGCTTTATTTTGAGAAATTTTGAGGTTAAATGTTGCATTCTTGAGTGATTTGATTGGAATCCAGGGAAGAAATCATTTATGTGGGTTGGAAGGATTCCAAGGGTGCTTGTGACTGATCCAGAGCATGTGAGGGAAATCTACACAAAATACTATTTGTTCCAAAAGAATCACCACGATCTTGACCCGATTACAAAGCTTCTCTTGACTGGAATCGGTAGCTTAGAAGGGGAAGTATGGAATTCCCGCAGAAAGATCCTCAATCCGGCTTTCTACTACGAGAAATTGAAGGTACGTAAACAGGGGATTTTCTTGAATGGAAAAGTGTCCTGTTTCATGCAGCTGAGATTTTGTCTGTCTGAATTTTATTTTATTTTATTTTATTATTTTTTTTTGTAGCTTTTGCCGCCGGCATTTTATTCTTGCTGCCGGGAGATGGTGGCTAAATGGGAAGCTAAGGTGCTAGAGGGTTCTTCAACAGAGGTGGAAGTGTTGCATGATATCGAAACCTTGACTGTGGATGTCATGTCAAAGACTCTGTTTGGATGTGATGTTGATGAAGGAAGAGCCATCTTTAAGCTCATGAATGAACTCACCAATCTCACAATTGATGTCATTCTCTCAGTTTATATTCCTGGAAAGAGGTAAATTATGTCTTAAATACGATACGAGCAGTGATAGAGACAGTGACACGTACTGTTCGATAAAATGATGACGTACTGAAATACCAATAATCATAGTCTTGTTAAAAGTGTTTAATTATGTCTTTTTCACATGAATGACAACAAAAACTATTTTTGTATCGGTTAATGAATTCACTAACTCTATTATCCCTTTGATTTTGTACGAAATCCAATCTTTCAAGATCAATAGATGATCATCATATTGGATGGTTTTTGATTATGTAGGTTTTTGCCAACTAAGAGGAACAGGAGGATGAGGGCAATTGACAAGGAGGTGAAAATGAGGATTGGTGAAGTGATTGACAAAAAAGTGAAGTTACTTAAGGCTGGAGATCCTCATGCTAGAAATGACTTCTTGGGAATCTTGGTGGAATCTGGATTGAGCAAGGAGCAGATCACTAATGAAGTCAAGCTGGTTTGTTTTGCTGGGGAGGAAACAACCGCAAGCTTGCTTGTTTGGACAATGGTCCTTCTGAGCAGGCACCCTGAGTGGCAGCAGAAAGCCAGAGATGAAGTTTTGCAAGTTTTTGGAGGCAAGGAACCAGATTATGATGGTTTGAGCAAACTCAAGATCGTAAGTTTCGTACTTCTAGAAAAACAGTCCAGTTTCTTTAACTATAATCCGTCCATTTTCTCAATCTAAAACGCTTACAAAATGAATTATTTTTCTGGGACATGCTTAAAAACTATTAATCTTGAAAGGAGTAAAATTCATTTTTGCTAATTGAGCAAATTAATGAGTCATGATAGTTTTGTTATGCGTTGACGGTGGATATCTACAAATGTATTTTTCTGAAAAAAAAAGCCATGATGATTAGAGAGTTACTCAGATCTCCACTAAATGAGCTCTTACTATTTTTTTTATATGTATTTATGTCCTAATTACTTTATAGCTTTATTACATTCGGAAAAGTTAGCTATAACGAATCTTGTTCGTTTTCCTAGTGGAATGATTTATCAAATGCAAGTTTCTATTCTTTTGTTTAAAATAAGCACATGACCGAGTGATTGTTGGATAATGATTGGGAATGCACTTGTAAGCGAATGATAGAAGTTAACTCGTCAGTTATTAGTCATTACACATAGTATTATTTATCCTATGTGGTAATAAAAGTAGCCCATTTTGTTTTAGTTTGTTTTGGATGGCTGTAATAATCATCAATCGTTTGCTTGTGAGAGGTTTGACCAAGATCAATTAATCTGAGAAGAATATGTAATAATCATATATATGATACATTTTTAATATAATAGATTCCTATGATCTTGAATGAGACTCTGAGGATGTACCCTCCGGTGCCGGAAGTCACCAAAGTGGCCCATGAAGACACACAACTTGGAGACAACTTCATTCCGGCCGGAGTCCAATTGATGATGCCTCAATTGTTGCTTCACTATGACAAGGACATCTGGGGTGATGATGTCAGCAAATTCAATCCTGACAGATTCTCTGAAGGAGTCCTTAAGGCAACTGAAAGCCAGTTGGGTTGCTATTTCCCATTCAGCTTGGGTCCAAGGATGTGCATTGGGGTGAACTTTGCGCTTCTGGAGGCGAAAATGGCGATTTCACTTGTGCTTCACCGCTTCTCCTTTGAACTCTCTCCGTCTTACAGGCACGCCCCGAAGACACTGTTCACCATCAAGCCTCAATATGGTGCTCATTTGATCATGCACAAACTCTAAAGAAAAGGAGTCATCCATCTCATGGCTACTGAAAAAATCTCCCCTTGTGATGCTTCTTACCTTACTGGAGTGTCAAAATGTTACCTGTTGGCTTACTAGCATTCTTCATGTGTCAATGTAGTGTTCCAAGGTGTCATTGGTGTCAATTTTTCTTTCATTTTCGAATAAAACCTGGCTGATGGTCAAGGCAATAGCTAGGAGGCAATTTGAACGATAGGATCTGAATCAAGAAGGCCTCCCAATTTGTGCTGATTTAAATCAAGTTCCTCAAGGCAAAAATACAGAAGAATATAATGTGCTAACCTATGCTTGCAAAATGAGGCAGATGAGACAGATTTATACATTCGGCTGACCTCTAGCATTCATAACATTATGAAATCTTCTATCTATCTAATTATATAACTTAATAATAGAAAACCCAGAGAAAGGAAACTTAGATAGTTTTCCACTTGCCACATAAGACTAGCGATTTTCTCCATTTTTTGATTTATTAAAAAAGGAAAAAAAAGTTTTATCTTCAGTTAAAAAAAAACAAACCACTGAACAAATACCAATACCATATGGAACAGCTCATATAACAATTTTCAAAGTTATTCAAAGTTATACCTTAGTCAAAACCGAAATCAGACGCCGCCAATTTGATGATGTTAAAGATCTCATCACCATGAAGATCAAGTTCGATTGGAGTGCAAAGGTGCAAGTGCTCAACGCCTGCAAACCGACATATGGGAAATCAAAAGATGTCATTTGTCTTGAAGCTCTCCTTATCGATGCAAAGATAAATTTCAGGTCCATAATTAGACTTTGAAGCATGCTTTTCAGATAACTTATTTATGTGTCAGTTTTATTGGCTTTTCTATGACTATCCGTAGTTTGAAGGTTTGAAACAACTCTCCAAGTAATAATATATACTGGCTAGCTAGCTACTCATGGATGATTGCATTAGATCATCATTACAGGCTAGACGATGGTAGTCTGCAGCTTGATTTCAGTATCAATGTTTTTCAATCTTCATGGTCTTTTTGAGGCAGTTGGATTGCAATCAAACGCAGTATTAATGGCCTCAATTATATTTACTCACAAGTTTCTCCTTAATTTTATCAATCTCAAATTGTGATTGCCCCATGGTTGTGGCTAATTCAGGCATTCTGCTTGTGATTGCAGGTTTCTTCTCGCGTTGAACTGGAACTGGATGGAAGAGAAGCAATAGCTTTTGAAGGACACCAGAAAACAAAAAAGATCATTCAGGTTCGTACGTTTTGTGGAGGGTAAGGGAACATGGTTGAAATGTATAGATAGAATATGTAGATAGAACTGCTAATGTGGTAGCATACGCATTGGCCAATTTTTGGTACAAATTAGAGTCCACCAATGTGAGGTATAAATTTATATGAGCTTTAAACAAAAGGCACAAATTTTATTTCATTATAAACTGCATGTAGCCATGAAACTTAAAATATCAATATCATTCATCACTACCAAAACATCATACTTGTTAAAACCAACGATATATATTTGAAAAGGAAAACTACTGCTATTGAAGAAAGGCCATGATTCGAAAACATTGACTACATCTTTTAACTTATTATGAAAAGAACAATGTCGTCAAAAGTGAGACTTTTAAATTCTAACAAATTATTAATGTTGACAAAAAAGAAAAAGAATTAACCCAAAATCATGCCCAAGATTAAATACCACTCAAAATGGATAGAGAAAAAATAAAAATAAAAAATTCAACAACACCCAAGGCTGAAAAGGTTGCCCATAAAAAATATAGCAATGATTTAAAATGCATAAATATAGATTCCCTTAAAAAAAAAAATGCAAGAGTACTCATCCGGAATTTGAAAGAAAGTAGACGCAAAAAAATCGTTTTATTAAACACAAGCCCTAAATAATATGTCCCTTAAAGAAACGACATGGGTGATAAATAGAGGAGAAGGAAACAGTGTCAAACAGAATTAAGCAAATTATTATTTTTCCTAGCCAACAGCTAAGTATTTAGTTTTTTCCTAACAAAAGATATAATTTTTAGATCTTACATGATTCAAACTGTCTATTAAAATTATGACATCCATAAAAGGATTAGTACCATGTCCAAACACCTAAAAAAAAATCGGTAGAGCTAAGAGACCTTCAATCTCAATAAGAAGTGCATAACAATTGCATGGGTAGCACTTGCATTCCTAGGCCAGAGATCAGCACACTTCTTTCCAGTGGGGCTAGTTGATTGCAGAACCTTTGATTAATTTCTCCCTTGGGATAAAAAAATTACTCCAGCATTATCTTTTAAAGTACATGTCGATACTGTCCTTTCGGTGGTACTACCTGTTAACAATCTTATTTCCCATTAAAACAAAAGCATGAAATGCACATGAACAAAAGGCAAACGTCATATCAGTTGCGCTAATTTTGGCAACAATGAATGATCTCAAGATATTGATATTTCAACCGCATCCTGTTGAACCGTCTAACATGATTGCTTATGTGTGAATCACCGGAGGAAGTTGGGTTTGACGTATGATGATGATCGGAAGTCCATGAGGAAGAAGGTTTCAAACGCGAGGTTTTGTAATGGTTGGCGAGGGAGGGTGGCAATTAGGGTTTTCAATCAAGGGGTTAATTGAATAGATGAAGATCAAAAAATCGTATTAATTCTCCATATAAAGAGTCCATGATTTACTCGTTTGAGAGGAGAATCCATTTAAGGATAATTGATGCTTGTTCAATTATTCCATGGATTTGGTCGCGTATGTAATTGTATTAGTATATTACAAAGCGATAACTCTGGGTGTATATTTTCCTTTCCCGAATCACGTAACTGGAATCACTCACCGGATTTATGGAAGCCATAAACAGAAGTCGCCTATAACTGGTAAAAATTGTTTGTAGGGTGAAAACTTACAATACAACATTTTATTCATCGTGTGATTGAATTTGGTTCATATACAATCCTCCAATTCACAATCAAGATTATGAATTAATAAAGGATTTTTTTTTCATTGATTAGGTAATTAATCAATTTACAAAATGAAAAGATGAGTGAAATGAACAGGTGATAAGTAGATTAAAATAACCAATTTACAGATAAATTTAACTATTAACGATTAAATTTACAGATAAATTTAACGCAACCACCTTCAGACAATCCATTTGGTGAATCGTTCAATAAGTTTTTGGTGATGTTTGCAACGATTTGGTTCCCATGTATGACAATTCGTTGGGATTTGTTTAATCAAATATCAAGTAAATTTTAACAGCCATATAAAAAAACGTATACATGTTCGTCCATGAGCAACATCTCAATGGCTACGATTTTATCATCGTCTTGGACGAGAGGCTTGTCCCAAACTCGCAAGACCTCACTTTAATGTTCCAGCCACATCGGGTCGAAGCATCAAGTACATCCACATAATTAAACTTAGAGGCCATTGACAAAGGATAGAGTGCAGCGGAAGTTTGTGATATTAGGTGAGGGTTGATGATGATGATGATGATGGGTGAGATCGATTATTCTGGGGAAGCTTTTATAGGGTACGATGATGAAAGGTTTTCGTTGAAACCGAAGGTTCGAATGTAATGAAATATCATATCATCTCCTATCAAGAATCACCATATCACAATTAATTAAATTTAATTGATTCTTTTTACATTGTTATTGAATTGATGTAGCTAAACTTAGTGTAATTAAAGTTATGAAAAATTTCAAAACGAAGCTCCAAACGAAGGAAAGATCAGATTCTTTATTAAGGAGATACGGTACTTCATATATATTAATGTCATCAAATCTTCTCTTTTCTCATTAATTTAAAATCGTCTCTTTCGTTATTAAGCTCCAAACACATCATGCAAATCAGTAAAACCAATTGTTATACACGAATAATGAGATTTTAAAATTCTTACAAACCTAAGACAACTAACCAAAAAACATAATTCACTTACTCTTTATAAACTACGAAATCACTTTTGAATAAATAAATAGGTTAATTCTATGAACATTAGCTTTTATTGAAGTTTCTCTTGATGTAATTCTGAATTAAAATACTGAACATGTTTATAGGAACTAAAACATACTCAAAAAGACATAAAGCCAAATATTTATCTAGTGATAGACCGAAATTCACCGAACTCAAAACAACTGAACAAACGACAAAAAGGGGTTGAGAAAAAAAAAAGGTTAAGGCAAACACAAAAATACACCATTATACTTATTTACGTATCTACGTTATTCAAATGATGAGGAAGATCAAAGTAAAACATTTACCTTTTCTATAAACATGCCACAATCAATAAAATTACAATTGATTTATTATATATTTAAAGGATGAAATAATCAATTTCTTTTCAACGTTATTTAGGTAACTAATCAGTATGTAATAAATTTTAACAAATGGAAAGTGGAAAATAGGTGAAATGGATGTATGATAAATGAGTGGAAGTAACCAAATTATCAAAAAAAATTTACGATTTAATGAATGAGTGGCTCTTTTATCGACACCTGTCAGAAGATGAACGTGGGTTTGACAAGTGGCGGAGAAATCTCTGAATTATCTCATTGAGCAACACGTGTCGATTAAAAACTCTCCTACTATATATAACTAGTGTTTACCACACACGTTGTGCGGGATGTTTAGATAATTTAAGGATTATAGACATCCAACGGAATATTGTATGTAGAACGAAAGAAATATATTTAATGATATAAATGGAAATTATGTAATTTTAGTGTCAACGTGTTCTGTTATTTTCAGTACAATTGGAATTATTTTCAATATTTAGAAATCATCCAACGTAGATTATTGTCCATCTTTTTTGTTTGTTAGTTTATCACTTTATATCTTTTAAAAGTATTATCTTAATTTTCATAACAATTTCTCTAAATATTTCTACTCGTGTCATGTATTTTGAAATCTCCCTCTAACAAAAAATTTTCTAATTATCTGTTTCAATAAACTTATTTTTCATCTCTCTATATACTTTTTGCAACCTTTATTTATAAGTGTGTTCGTATATTTTTTTTTCATAATATAGTGTCACAATAGTGGATTGGTTCCAGAGTGTAAGTCGAGTTTGCCCAAAAATATTTTTCAACACTTATAATTTTTTCATCCCACCTGAAATTAATATTTTATTAGTGAATTCGGATTTACGAAGTCCGTGTTTACATTAATTACACTAAATAATTAATATTTTATTAGTGAATTCGGATTTACGAAGTCCGTGTTTATATTAGTTACACTAAATTTTTTCATTAATTTAATCTTTTATTAACATTACACAAAACCGGATTTCAGTAATCCGAGTTTAGTTGGATCTGAATTTCAGAAATCCGACTGTTACCCTGATTCGGATTTCTGAAATTCGGGACACACAGTTTTGTCTACATAATTTCTTAAAGATTTTTTTTTTTGTCCAAGTCCTTAATGTGCCAACATATTTAAGTCAAAAACTCGCCAGATTAAATGGCCTGCCCAAAAAGTTGCTGGTGTTACAAAGTCGAAATCAATAACAATACATCTGAGAGTTACTGCTTTGAGCATCCGATTGACTCTCTGTTCATTGAATTCTTTTTGAACTCTTAAAATTTCAGCAGTTATGAAAGAAATTCTACTTCAGTTTCTTGACTTCTTCCATAAAAAGAAAGCTAATAAACAAGCTCTGAAGGAAGATTTTCTATTTGATCCAGTTAGAAAAGATCAGAGGAAAATGCATCATCATCCACACAATCAAACAGATTATGGCAGTGTTAGAGCATTAACAGAAGAGTAAGACAATGCGAAGCTACACTAAATTTTTTTGAGAAATATAAACAATGTCATTTCCAACGAGAACGTCAAGTTAAGTCAACATATGTTCATTCTGTAAGAGGAGTAGAGGACGGATGATCTCTTTGTAGATTTGAGTATCAGGAATCACTCCTTGAAGAACCAGAAAATCATGCAGTTCAATGACTTCCTCAGCTCCACGACGCTCCTTCATTGCACATGTAATAAAGGTAGCATATGTAACACCATCTAGATTGATACCCTGTGCACGCATCACATTCACGAGTTTCTTTGCCTGCTGGAATGATCCAACCTTGCAGAAGAAGTTTACCATTATATTGAAAGTGACCCTGTTGAAAGAAATCCCTTCCTTCCTCATACTTGCAAGTAAGTTCAATGCATTATCTACCTGACCACCAGCACAATAGCTGTTCAATAAAGTGTTAAAGGTTATAACGTCAAATAAACCTGTGTCTCTCATTCCACTTAAAAATGCTTTTCCTGCATCTACAGATATCTCTTTGCATATACCATCCATTATTGAGTTGAAAATCACCAAATTGGGATTTTTCTTAGCCGAAAGTATCATATCATTGTAAGTCTGTAGGGCGTTTTCCATGTCACCAGCTTTACAGTATGAATCAATCAGTGAACCATAAGTTCCCAAATCTGGAACAAGTCCCCGCACAAACATACTACAAAGAATCTGCTTTGCTCTACTTATGTTCTTAGTTCTGCAAAGGTAATTGATAACTATGTTATGGGAGAAAGCATCTTCAATGAGATTCTTTTCTAAAATATATGTGTAATGCTTAAGTGCTTCATTGATCTGGCCATTCCTGAAAAGTCCACTTATCAGCGTCGAATAAGTGTATCTATCAGGGCATATGTTCCTTTTAAACATGTCAGCGATTAACACAGAAGCTCCAACAACGTCACCTTCCTTATATAGCCAATGAATAACTGAATTATAAACAACCAAATTCGGCAACAATCCTCGTTCAACCATCTCACTACACAACCTAAATGCCTCCTCCAAATGCCCGCTCCTAGAATATCCATCTACGAGTATCGCATAAGTTCTGACATTTGGCTCCATACCCCTCTTGAGCATTTCATTGATAAAATATTTTGCAGTTCCTACATTTCCCAACTTGCAATACCCATTAATGAGACTATTGTAACTAATTAAATCAGGAGTCACACAACCATTGGACATCATACCAATCTTTTGAATGAGCTTCAATGCCATATCGCAATCACCAATCCAACAGGCGCCATGTATAAGCATATTAAGAGTAACATCATTAGGAATAATCCCATTTTTCAACATCCTATAGAAAACTGAGATGGCTTCAATCACTCTGTGTTCCTTGCAAAGAGCATAAATAGTCCAATTAAATGTTATCACATTCTCAACATAGCTGTAAGAGATCATTTCCTTCCGTACCCTCCAAAACTGAGCTACATCACCCACTTTAAGCAGATGATTCAAAAAATTATTCCATGCATGAACTGAAACCTGAAATCCCTCCATTCTTAATTGCTTAATAACCTCATAAGCACCCCTGGATGACCCAACATCAGTGCAAGCCCTCACAAGTGTTTCAAAAGCTGCACAACCTGAAAAATCAAAGTCCCTTTGGCTATTTAACAATGTCTTCAACACATCCAAGGGTGAGTGACCTTTTGCTATCATCAACTCCTTAATCAAGCACAGAGCTTCATCATATCTTTTACTGTTCACCATCAGATGAATGACAATACCACATGAAGTTAGAGAATCTAAAATATATCTGACTCCTCCGATCCTGTAGTAAACCTCTAAAATCACTGGTGGAGAGTTCCGGAACTCGTGAAAAACACGGCAGACTGTGGAACTTGTCATGCTCGGTAACACACTGTCCAAGAATTTCCATTTCTTTTGCCTTAAGTTAGTACAAATCGCCCTAAAAAGAATATCTTCTCCGCTGGGGTTAGTAAATTGCTTCGCCGAATGTAGGCGTCTGACAAGAAGATGTCGACCTTTTGGTGGAAACAAGCTTAAGAACATAGGACAAGAAAAGCAACTTCAAACCATAGCTACTCTCTACGAACAACACAAACAACCTACTCAGGGCAGGGAAAAACAAAAATGAGACAGTTATAATGATAACAATAACAACAACAACAATAACAATAATCACATGAAACAGAACAGAGACCATACAAAACTATACCAAAACATAAATTAACAATCTCAATGAAACTTTATTCATAGAGAACCTTCAATTCTTTAGCAAAGTAAATAATGATAAACCCATCTCAGAACATTCACTGCTTGCCACTTCGAGAACTACTAGACCCTCAATTGACAGTTTAACGCGTTCGTACCAAAAACAAAAGAGCGCCAAAAAGCAGGCAACCATCATGTTCAGTGCGGCATTTTATCAAGCAGCTGGTATACTTAAAATACAAAACCAGGCCACAAACCAGCCTTACAACTTCCAGTTCTTGTCATACAAGGGAACTATGCGTCAGAAAAACAGCACAAGACCATGACAAATTCGCCAAAAGAAAGCCATAAATATAAGTACAATAAATCACGAAGAACAAACTTATTTTAACTGAGACGTTTCATCAAACAAACGTAGTTTTAGAGTTCAGACATTTAAGTAACCACTAAAGAATTTGAAGTAAGAAACGTGAAAGATTACCGTTTAGTTGTTTCCCCTGTGAGATAATTTAAGCAACCCCGGGCTGCTCTGTTCTTCGGAGAGAATTGATTAATTTTTCTGACCGGATTAATAAAACAAAGGGGCTGTAGTTTATAAATGTCGGTGCTTGGCGGCAAAAGATTAAAAGGCGGTGTTTTATCCTACTTCTTACTCCCTCCATTCCAAAATAAGTGTCGTTTTAGCTATTAAAATAAGTGGAATGGAGGGAGTACTATATTAGAAACTAAATATTTTGCTAAAAACGACACTTACAAAGCTATTATAAATCTCCAAAACTAAGTATTGATTTGGCACAACTAATGGAGAACATCAATAAATTATCTTACTAATATTTAAACTTATTAGGATGCTTTTATATTTTTTCTAGCATTTACTTCAAGATATATATTTGATCAAGTTTATTTATATTTAAGAAGTAACACTTATAAAACATTTCTAAAATCTTCAAACATTTCTAAAACGTACCGGGCCAAATACAATTTATTTTTATGCCAAATACAAACATCATACTTATAAAATATTTCTAAAATTCTTCAAATATTTCTAAAATATATCGGGTCAAATACAAAATATTTTTTTTTCCAGATACAAACATTTTTAAAATCTACAAATATATTGGGCCAGGATCGCGTATTGCGCGACCAGACATCACTAGTACTATTTAGATTTGGGAAAGGGGGTCTCTATAAATAGGGAGGGATTTGTGATAGGCTATAGTATTTCCCATCAGGTGATTCTTTTCTTTACACTTCTTTTAAGATTTTCCGTTCGAGAGACAAAAGTTTAACAGATGAAATAGGCACCATCCGTGGCTAGAACATACGTATTGAACACAGCCAAACACCCCCCCTCCCCCCTAAAAAAAAAAACATGGAAGATGGTTTGGAATTTGTTCGTGCGGTTCGAGAAGCCTTCTTACCGACCAACGACGTTGATAACAAATACACCGAATTCATTTCAACTCTAACAAGGTTTCGGAACCAGAGTCTCACCCGTGAAGGAGCAATCGACAAGCTGACAATATTATTCGAAGGCAATGAAGATCTTCTTTCAAGGTTCAAGCAAATCATGCCTCGACTTTGATAAATGCAAGAAACAACAAAGGAGTGGAGTCGAGACGAAGATATTTATTAGTTGGTTAGAAACATTTTGCTGAGTAAAATGTAGAAGTTTTTTAATCCCTTAACCAGAAATGGGAATCTCACGACAAACAAAAGTTAATAGAGAAACAAATTTGGACGCAAAATTGGATAGATAAAAGCTACTTTATGTTTACTTATGCATCTGAAAAACATTATTTTACTACTTTACTCATTGCAGTTTTATATTAACGACGATATACTTTGGAGGCCATTATGATTTGGAGAAATGTTAGTTGCACGAATGTTATCAATTAAGACTAAAATAAAATCATGAAAATTTCAATTTGATATTATTTTTCCTAAAAATCAAACTTTGATATAAATTACATCTAATATGTTTTTTTTTTTTTTGATCTAAAACTAAGCGTCATATTTTTGTAACTATTTGTCAGGTAATTCAGAACTTATACTTTGATATTAAGGTTCTTGTCTTTACAAAATCAAATTAATGTAAAGACAATATAATTTATGAACTTTAATAGTATGAACATTAATTTTAATTTTGAAAATAAAATAAAATTTGTTGATAAAAGTAGTAATAGTAAAAAAATAAAAATAAAAAAAAACTTGGCTATTTATGGGAATTACAAAGCGTATTCTCCATTGATAATGTTAATTATGGTTATATTCGTAGAAAATCTTCTCCGAACTAAGAAACCCAATTTCTCTATGCAATTAATCTATGTGATCACTTTTTCAATGATTACACATATTCAAAGGAAATCTTAAAAAAATTAAAAATGGAACATTAAATTTTTATTTTTATATTTTTGGGAAAAGGATCAAATTTCGTAAGCAGTAGAGTCTTGATTTGTTTGATCAAAATCAAAGAAATTAAACAATGAGTAGATCGGGATAAAGAGACAATAATATGGGCACCGATCAAAGAATGTAATAATCATCATTCTATAGAAAGTGTAAAATGTAAGAATTTTGCAAAGAGTCACAGCATGTACTTTCCTTATTCCCCATTCAATCTGTTGCAAAAAGATGAAGATGGGTAACAAAATAATTTGACACTCTGAAAAGAGGGAGATGATATAAATTGAGGCGAGAGATCAAACACTCACACTCAGAAAGTGATTCCATTAGATTATGAACTCATCAAACTCTAGTAGCTTGTACAGACATGACTATTACAGCAATGACACCAAAAAGACCAAGTGCGCTAGCGGCGTCAACTGCATCACCACCGATGGAGGCCTTATTTCCAGATGTGGAGCAAATTTTTCAGATCTAACTTTTAAAAACTTTAACATTGGAATAAATGGAAAAAATTAAAACAGAAGAGAAAAATAATCACATATTGCCGTAGATTTTCTCATATCTCAAATTCTTTTAACTAACTAATAAATAAAAAAATTAAGCACAGAGAACAACAAAATCATTATTTATAGGTAAGTATTCAAACCATTTTGGACCTTTTTTTTTCATTCATACAACAGAATCTCAAACCCGTCGTAGATCAAACAAATTCAGAAATTCCATTATAACTTTTTTCAAAGCATAAACATGCAACAAAGGAAAACTAAAATTTTAGAAAAAGAATAAAAGAAAAAAGATTAATGCTAACATTGATTAGTAGCAGACCAGTGAATGGGTGTGTGATTAATCCTAGTGCGTGTGCAATTGTGCAAATATGTGGCAATATACGTATGGTATTTATAGCAGAAGGAACCAAACCATACGCGTATTACGGTTTACTCTGTTTAGCCACTAACGGTTTACTCTGTTTTGAAATAGTTGCTTGCTTCTTGATCTTTCATGAAATGAGAGAAGATCCAAAAAAGATTGCATATCCAGTCAAAGAGTGCCTGCAAAACTCACACGACCCCCAATATGCATCTGAATATGCTGTGAGTTCATGGCCAGAAAAAGAAGAGTAAAAGAGACCTTTAGTGATGGTATCATTCAGATACCTAAGAACATACATGGCAGCATTCCAATGAGATTCATGTGGAGCATGAACAAACTGACTTAACTACTGTACACCCTAGGTCAAGAATGGCCTTGTGAAACTGAGATATAACAACCCGCCCACAAGTCTTCTATAAGGAGTTAGATCTGAATACAGTGGTGTGGGATCCTTGTTTTTGAAGTTAAGATCACGTGCAAAAGGAGTTGAAGTCGGAGCAGAATCTAGCATACCAGTATCTTTGAGTAAATTAGTGATGTACTTGGTCTGAGAAAGATACATCCCATCTTCACTCCCAATTTGGATACAAAGAAAATATTTGGCCAATCCTAAATTCTTGATAGTGAAAGCCTGATCAAGCAGTTGTTTCACCTTGCTGATCTCTGCATCATCAGAACCTGTAATGATTATATCATCGACATACACCAGGAGGATGAGAATGAGTCCTGACTGTTTCAAAACAAACAGACAAGAGTCATGATAAGACTGCTGAAATACATAGGACACCAAAAGTGAAGTAAATTCACCGTTCCACTGTCTAGAAGTCTGTTTAAGGCCATAAAGAGATTTCTTCATGAGGCGTTTGTTTGACGGGATTCTGAATCAGGATTCAGATTCGGAGTCAATTTTGTTGTTTGGTTGATTGGAATGAGATGCAAGGAATGGGATTCGGAATCTATTTTTGAATCCCACCTCACCATATGGGTTCGCTGGATTCGGAATCGAATCCTTTTTATTTTTCCATCTCTTCTATTTCTTTACTCTCCTCTCTCTTTATTTCCTACTTTCTTTCCCAGTTCCCCTTTTCTCTCTTCTCTCTCTCCTCCATGTTCATCTTCTCATCTTCCTACACAAATTCCGTAATTTCTTTCTCTTCTTCATTTTCACTCTCCCATCTCTCTTCTTGCACGAGCTCGTTGTTACAGTCCATATCTCATTTTCTGCTTTGAAAAAAGGGCTTTGAAAATTAAATTATTCTTCAATAATTTTTTACTTTATTTTTTTTGGGCGATGGGTTTGCTCCATAAATTATTTTGACCGATTTATTTGATGTGAACACAAATCTAGGTATTGCGAGGAAGATGATAATGGTAATGACTTGTAGTAGATGGAGGAGGTGGTCGGTGAAGAAGATGGATTCTGGTGATGGTGATGGTTCAGGCGTAAGGAAAAGAGGAAGGAGGAAGAAGAAAAAATAGGAAAAAATGGATTGTTATTAATTTTTTTTATTATATTAATATAGGTAAAACTGAAATTTAATCTCATTTTTATTTGGAGA